ACACCTCTTGCAAAGTCATATTCTTTGTAGGTCTAGTATCTTTTCTACAAATTGATATTTTTGCCAGTTTTATTGCACTCTTGGGACGTGTAGGGTCCGACGTTCAAGAAAATGTTTATAGTTGTTTACAAACAACCTTGCATTTCGTAAATGATCACAAACCTCGTCCCAAAGCGCCGCCATGCAAAATTAGGCGTCGTTGTCAACGGGCTAAGCGGACCACAGTTCGCCCTTGATTACTGTAGGATTATGGAGACTTTCGGCTTACAGCGTCATTGTGGATTAGTCGTGTTTCAAAAAAATTTAAAAATTCTGAAAAATGGTGCATCTGGGATTTGAAGTGCGCTGATTTCATTACTTGACCTCTTAGGAGTTTGTAAAGCCTTCTAAAGGGTGTAAACACAATTTTAGGGAGCCTTGTAAAGACAGATACTGTGGTTCACCTGGCACAAGTTATGAAGGAACTCTTGCGGTAAAATGCAAAGTTCACTTTTGTTTTGCCGACTCTAATTAGCCTACTGAAAGGATTTTCAGATCTTTGGTTTGCATTCCGAAGCAAAATAGGGCCCTAATTGGCTCAGAACCCTTCTTGAAGTTCCTACCGTAGTCATACAGTAACGACAAGAGAGCAATGGTTCGCTCCATACCGTAAATCTAATTTGAAGCCAGCTCTACAAAATGGAACCTAAAGTTAGGCAAAATACTTTTATAAAAGAGAGATACTAGCGATCAAACATGTATACATACTTTTGGGACACTCTATATACGTACTCCAGAAAATGGGGCTTACCAGTCCCTGAGAAAATCACGAGATTCTCGGGTTCTTCGTATAGTCTTTTGCTCTAAGTTTCTGTAAAAGCTAACTATTCAAAAAAGAAAAACTTGTTGGTATAACATTGATTCTGCTCCACATATAATTTATCTAATATTTTGAGCGCTTGTCTCATCTTTGGTTATTTACAATTTAAGAGGGTTGCTTTTTTGCGCTTCGTACAAAGTCGTTGATGTAAGTGCTTTTTTTGTCTTGTGACTTTGGCAGATCTGTCTCCAGCCCAGAAAATGTCTACTTTTTGTTTTTGATGACCCATCTTATCTAATCTTTATGAGTTTTACAGCAACTAGAAGACTGTCTCTGCTTGACAGGAGTTTTATAATTTGGCTTGACACATATAATGTAAGATATTCGTACACGCAAAAGATTAGCTTTAAGAAAATTGTGAAAATTCCACAAGTTCCAATCGGTCGCATATATTAGGTGGGTGCAAAAGTTCTTGCGCGGGATTTTCCATTTTCTCAAAATTATTTTTGTATGAAAGAGGAAACCTTTTTCTTTATAGCGGTGCCTTTGCCATGAATCAGCATTGGTAAGATCGAGAGTTAAAAGAAATTGAATGAGATTAGTCAAGATCGACATTTTTCAAGCAGGATTACGAAAAATTCTGGAAGTATTTTTATTTTATAGAGAAAATTTTGCACAGTACAGTGGTACCCTTTTCATGAATTAAAACAAAGTAGATCGAGAGTTAGAAGCAAATAAAGAGAATTTCTTCACTTTTGCAATTTTTGAGCATGCTCAAAAAAGCCTAAAAACGTCACAGAAAAGGCGAAAAAGTCATAAACATGGGTTTTTGACCTTCCCTTTCTAGCTGAGGGAAAATCGTGCCAATCGGGAGCAATTTTCATTTCCGCAATTTATACGAATTTTCAGGTCTGCGTTTTTCACGAAGGTGAAAATTGTTCCCAATTGGCACGATTTTCGCTCAGCTAGAAAGCGAAGGTCACAAAACCCATGTTTATGACTTTTTCGCCTTTTCTGTGACGTTTTCAAGTTTTTTTAGTATGCTCAAAAATTGCAAAAGTGGAGAAATTCTCTTTATTTACTTCTAACTCTTGATCTACTTCGTTTTAATGAAAAAGGTACCACTGTAATGCACAAAGTTTACTCTATTAATAAAAATACTTCCAGAATTTTTCGTGACCCTGCTTGAAAAGTGCCGATCTTGAGTTATTTCATTCAACTGCTTTGAACTCTCGAACTTTCTCCCGCTATTTCATGCTAAAGGTACTGTTGTAAAAAGAAAGGTTTCCTCTTTTGAACAGGTGGTATGATTTTTTGAAAATCTGGCGAACAAACTTTGTGACCTATCTAATATGATGATAAAGAAAACCTTTGGAAAATCAAGGAAACAAAAAATTTTATTCAGTTTCAGGCAAGACGAAATATAAAAATATACGGTGCGCGCTTTGAATTCAGAATGCTTCTCTTTTCTCTCATCACTTTCTTCTTAGCGTTGATAAAGAGCGAACTAATCAAGGCAGTACAATTTTGCAGATATAATGTTGCAGGCCTTATCAGCAAAAAGACGAGCAAAATGGCATTGTTGACATGTGACACGAACATGAAATACTTTACCATTATTAGTTTGGACCACTGGTAGGCGGAGAAGGGGGGGGGGGGGAGGGAGCGAAAGTGACCTACATGTGATAGAGTGCAAATGGCTTTATTATTTCTAAACTATAAATTTCTTTTTGAATTTTTCAAAATTCAAATTAGCTTTGCAAAAAAAATTTTTTTTCCGATGAAGTCACACCTCCCCTCCCAACTTCGGTATTATGGGACCGCGAAAATCTTGGTAACTGAGTGGGGGGAGGGGGGAGGGAAGGAGGGAATTGGGACTATTACGGCAAACTTCATTTGTGACTGACTTCAACTCTATACTTTCGTGTGGCATCAGTATAGGATACACTGATTGACCTTCTCAGAAAGAGTACAAAAGTGAACGAAATCTGAGGCACGAGTTTTAAAGCTTTAAATGTGGCTTGATCGGGACTTTCCAAACTGTTTCCACATGTAAACTCAGACATCTGGAACTTCCGCAGAAGAAAATTCCGCTATGTCACCTGGGGAAATTTCGTTAACGTTGCGAAACTTGTCAAGTGAAGTGCTGCGGAATTTCCGAATAATGCGGACTACGACAGCAAAAGAGAGCGCCTAAGCGGATTTTAACCTTGATAATTGACTGCGACACTCACGTTCCTGTGCACCACGGACGACATTTCGACAATGCACTTAAAGTCCTGCAGAAGTCAACCAGTATGACATAAAAATCCTGAAGAAGCTCCCATTTTCAATGTCTCCATTTTTGCAATAGTAAACGAAATCTTGCGCAACCGTTGCAAATTTTGCTTGTCTTGCGGAAGTTCCAGTGAACTGTCTGAGAACCTTTGCATGGACTCCAATTTGAAAAACCACCGTTTACGAGCGTTGATAGGTTGTTCAACCAGAGATCGGGGTGAGAAGACGATCTTACTTTACCTTTCCTCAGTGATTTTCTGATTCCATCCAAATATATTTCTGAAAAATAAAAAATTTTGTTCAATACACTGATTTTCATTTAAAGTTCAAATAGATTACATTTTTGCGGACTCTGTTTTATACAGTTCCAATATTGCGCCTGCTGCAATTTTTCAGTAATTTCCTCACTTTTGCTCAAAATAATGTTGATATCCTGGTAGAAGTCGTGCACCTTTGCTATTTGCCTTTATAAGGCTTTTATCCCTATTTCATAATGTGAGACGATCTACAGAAAGAAATCGATCCACGAAACGAGTTCCAGAATTCATTCGAAAAAATCGAAGCGACATCTATAACATCACTATAATACCATTGTTCATCACAAAGATTAAAGAACAAGCAAAGCCAAATGACTCCAGCGACCAGGGCTTTCACATAAAAATGTCATTCTATGTACAGCTGTTGGAATCTGTTGCGGACGGGCGCACGTACCTGAAACTTTAGAAATTAGGTAGTTAAAAGTGCACTTTCTTAATCTTAAAGCCCTCCTTGACTTACTGCTGATTATAAGATAGAGGGTGTCCCAAAATTGTTCCTAATAGTGGATTCAAAATGCTTTTTTAACCTTCTCATAAGCCAATCTCTTGGTACCATTCTCTTGAACTGGCTGTTTCAATATATTCCACAAGTCACTGTAGGTGCTAAGAACTTTGCAGAGGGCTTAGCAGTATTAAAAACCATAGCTTGCCTTATAAGAATTCCAAGAAATAGCTGAGAATTTTGTCGCTGAGTAATTTGGAGCTGATAATTCTAAAAATAAGCATTGCGCGTTACTGTGTATATAAACAGTATATCCGAAAATCTTCATGAGCCTGCTCATGTCTAAACTGCTTTAAAAAACAAAGCTAATAAGGCTATCTGTTTGAATCAGCCCTTGGAAACCCCACCAATTCTTTGAGTGCTTTGGAAATGTTCCGAAATTGTCGTAAATCTGCTATGGCGCTTTGCGTCATATTGCAAATTTACGTTGACAGCTCTTCAAAATAGTAGTGAACAATGAAGAACAGCAGAATCGACAACTCAGACAACTCACCGGAACTTCCCCAAGAAAAGCAAAGTTTGCAGCTTTTTCGCAGAATTTTATTTACTAATGCAAAAGTGGGAACGTTGAAAATGGGGACTTCCGCAGGATTTTCGTGTCAGGCAGGTTGGAAACGGTAACTTTTGCAGGACTCTTTACAAACGCTGTGAAATTTCCGAAGAATGTCAGCGGTTCTGCAGCGCTTTGACATGCCAGTACTTCCGCAGGGTTTTGAATGTGTTGTTTTGTAAGATGTGCCTCACCAACAACTAGAGTGCATTACCAAACATGCCAGCCGTAGTGCAGAGGATAATAGGTGAGTCTCGCAGTCAATAGATTACGGTTCAAATCTCGATTAGGTGTTTTCTTTTGCTGTTGTGGCTCGCATTCTTCGGAACTTCCGCAGCAGCTTTACGGAGCTCCCGCTGACCCGGCAGAACTTTCCCAAATGTTTGGCGGAAGTTTTGGTCAGTTGTCTGAGAGGCTTAGAGCAAAACGAGATATTTCAAATTGAATAATTCAGAAGTACAGACATTTTTTAAGCACCCCCGTACGAAGTCAGCGAGTCGTTACAAAGTCCAAACGTTATGCCGAAAGCTATCGGCAAGTCTCAATGTCATGTAAACAAAACTCTAAACATTTCCCATCAATCCACGATCGCTGTGCTTTGTGCTCCCGAATTGCGACCAGCTGGACTGGGGGGCAATATCATTCCGATAAGACAGCGCTCGGCTGCATCTCAGTCGTTCGATTGTCGCCATGAAGTCGACCGGCCTAGGGCTGATTCTGGCTTTATTCGCCATTCAGGTAACTGAAAAAATTGAAAATTACCTAAATACTATAATCATGTGTTCAGGCGTACGCCAATGTTTACCAAGGGGGAGCAGCAGATCTTCATTATAGGTTAGTGTTTGACTTTTTTCCATGATTTTCAACTTTTTCCGGAATTTTGCAGAAAATCTAAAAAAAACTGCATCAAACCGATTAACTTCGACTTCATCTTTATCAGCTTAAACTCCTACTCCCCTCTCTTCTCGTGACTTCAGTTTCCGTCGCTAAATGAACAGTTCCCTTGCGAAACATCACAATACCGACCGTCTTATCACCTTTTATCAGTACATTTTATCTGCTGTCTATTTACTGATGGATGGACAACATCCGAGAATTTTCGGCGATGAAATGGAAACAGCGGCTGCGACTGCTCAAGAATTTGTTAGACTTTGGAAAAAAGGGATTAGTGAGATGTCTACGAAAATCGCTAGTCAAAAAACGGAACTAAAGTAGTACACATAATTAATTAATTCACTCCTATATGCGTAGAACTCTCAGACGCTCTAGAAAGCTCTACCATACCCAGTCGAAAGCGACTTACGACCCTGAGAGCAAGCTACTGTCCTTGGGACTAATTTACCTACTATCATTTATTCCTCATAAAAATCAAAAAATCGTCAGCTACCTTTCACATCATAACCTGACTTCATTTGTGACAGAAAAGCAATCTCTGAAGTCATAATGCTCCGAATATTTGGTATTTGTACAGATTTGTTATTGAGAATCAAAGGTGGACCACAAGCTCGAAACAAACTATTGGTTATTACATTTTATATTTGCTTATGTCAGAGAAAAATATCAAAAAAAAGTCGAATGCGAAGACCCTGAATGGACCTAAAAACGAAGACCGCTACTTATCGACTTTGCACAAAAATTCTGAAAGTGTCTAAGATACTTTCAGGCAAGAATTCATTTCTATATCTTTCAGCAAAAATATGAAATTTTAGAATTTTATGATTCAGAATATGTTATGCTACATTTTCCCGACTTTAGAGCCAAAAGAGCTGCAAAGGAATTGCATGATTGGGTAACTGCGGAACAGAAAGAAGTGCTTCTAGGGGTGAGTTCTTTATCAAAACAGATCAGATAGAGCCATAAACGAAGTAATAACGTCTTAAGTATGCGAATTTGAGCTGCTTTGACCACGCACAATAGTCTTTGAGAGATTCAGCCACTAGTGAAATAGCCAAATGCGAAATATGATAAAGAGTTCAGTAAATGAGGAGACAAACTAGCAAGACTAACTCATTAAGATAAATGAGTCATAGTTTTTAAATTTTTAGCCAATAAACAGCATCAGATACAATGACCCTAAGTTTAGCGACTAAGCGAACAAACTAGCAAGATGGACTCATCAAAATTAATAGAAAGTTATTCTTTGAATACTAGATACTGATTTCATGCTGTTTCTTCTAACTTTTCAACAAACCTGCTAAAGCTAAAAATCGTATTTGCATCTTGTACTAATCAACCCCTAATCTACTTCTTTCAGCTGTTCAGAGATGATCCACAGCAATTTCACGACAAGACCGTAGAATTGTATAAGCAACTACCTCAAGAGAAACGAGATGAGTGGGATAAATTCTACAAAAAAGCATGCATCGAATGGATCATGGAGGTAAGCCATAATCAAATCTTACTCGAAAACTTTGTAAAGTCTTTCGATTAGAACAAGTTGTTTTTTGCAAATGATGATGTAAACTACAAGCATCTACCAATCAGAGCATTGGTGCTACAGTATCTGGGCCAATGAATTAAAGATACCATAGCTAACAACAAGAGTCAATGCTATTGGCCTAGATACTGTGGCCAATAAAAGTGTTTTTTGACTTTCAAGCGCTCTGCTGTCCATAAACCTTAGCTTAATTTTGGCAATATCACTTTGATTTAAGATTCAACAACTGATTAAAAGCAGATTTGCCCGAAGGCAACAGAGTTTTTTGAGTGAACAAAAAAGCCTGAAGATTTCTTCAATTTTTGAAGATAAAAAATTTAAAAAATTTAAAAAAATATGAAAATATGGAATTATGGATAAAAATATGGAATTTATTCATTTCCAGGTCACAACTAAAGAGGAGAGGAACGAACTGAAAGAGCTAATAGAGAAAAAGGATAAAGAAACTATCATGAAAATGGTATGAACCTATTAACAGCCAATAATTCCATTATTAAACCAATCTATCCAGATCCACACCTATAGGGAACGTCTATCAGAAGACAATAGAAAATGGGTTGAGAGATTTGAGGTACGGTAGAAATTTTTGACATTGATTTTCTGGAAAGTTCTGTCACTTTAGCCAGAATGTCTCGAACTCTGGAAGGACGATTTATCACAAAAGCGACGAGATCTTGATAAGAACTTTGATGAATTCACAAAATGGATGACAGAAGATCAGCGGAAAACAGTAAGAGCCCTCGACTAATTAGAATTGTTTAAAAGCTTTTAACCATGGGAACTTTCAGATTTCGGAAATGAAGGACTCTGGAAAATCTGATGATGATCTTCGAACAAAAGCTAAGGAATATTTTGAAGCTCTTCCAGCTGACAAACAAACCGAGTTGAAGGAGGAATTCAAAGGAAAATGCAAGGTACATATGGAGCATGAAGTCAGTGAATAATAAGATTGGTCACCAGCTGCAAATATAAAATGCCCACTAGATTTGCATAAAATCCCGTCGAGACCACCAATAATGTTTTAGGCATTCTTCAAGAAAATCTCAAAGCCCGAAGAGATGGAAAAGATGAAGACATTGCACGAAGCCGGTAACGATGATGAGGTTCGTACAATCGTAAAAGGCATCATTGGACGTCTCACCGGTGACGAGAAGACTCTCGCCGGCAAAATGGAAGTGGTGAGCACAGTTTTTTTTTTGGGAAAGCAGAATTTTTCATGATCTGTCTCTTTTCAGTTTTGCCATGATGTCTTTACTGCCAAAGCAAAGAGGAGACGAGACATTGATGAGAAAATCAACAAGAGACTATCATGGATGACAGCAGATCAAAAAGAAGTGAGACTTGTTTATATAAAGAACTGGAGCGGTATTTAGCAGTCTCCCGATCTCAATCGGGAGCTGTTTTACAATTATAAACAAGGCCCATCACCCAATCGGGAGCTCGTTCATGACCTCAGACAATCGCAAATGACTTCGAGGCAAAATGAAGTTCTAAAACTTCAGGGGGACACTCCTCTTGGAGCTGCCAGGTAGAGCAGAGCCCACCCATACGGCCCATTAGGAGCGTCCCCTCGGAATATTTAGAAGTTCAATTTGTCCCGGAAGTCATTTGCGATTGTCTGAAACGGTAAATAAGGCCTAGTAGATCAAAAATTGGGAGAATGAAGATAAAGCCCCTTATAGGCACAAATTGTTTAACACGTTGACGACGAGCCATTTCTTGAAGGTCTGTCCCTGTGGACGAACCGTTTCCCGGCACTTTCACGGCTGGCTGCATGTATGTATGCATGCATCTATGCGTGAGATACAAAAATGCAAGTGGGCGGGGCGGCTCCGCCCACTTTTTGCAAGCCCCGCCCACTTTTCAAAAATGCTGGAAATCGCCCAAAATCAAAGAATCCGTGCAAATTCCGGCATTTTTGAAAAGTGGGCGAGGCTTGCCACTCAGGGGGCGGAGCTTGCCACTTAGGGGGCGGAGCTTGCCTGAAGGTGTGCGGGCCTGGCTGAAAGTTGTTTGAGGTCTTTGCGTTCATTTACGGCCTTTTTACGAACAAAAATGGCTCTTGTGGGAGGCATAGGAGTGGGCGGAGTTTGCCAAAAGGGGCGGAGCTAATACATGAAGTATATCCGAGCCTATGTTGATTATATGAACAACAACTGAGAGGATTGGACAGATAGTATTGAAATTAAGGCCGCCGCGCACCATTGCGCGGCGTCGTCCACAGGGACAGACTGCCTGCCGCGCACCATTGCGCGGCACTGTCGTCAACGTGTTAAGAGGGAGGGTGTGGGAAGAGGTCAAGAAGCGCACTTTAGATAGACATTAAGCAGCACATATTTAGGGTTTTATAACGAATCAAACACATTAGCTTTAAAAAAAAAGCAGATAGTCCATCGGTTTAATCTGATTATCGTGAATAAGATGATCTATAGTACTGAAGAAAAAATCCTCTGAATTTGCACAACATCGAATTTCCGAAGATTTTAGTCAATTTCCAGGCAGGACCCTTACCCAGCAACTGGTAATCGTAAGCCAGAGCACTTTCTCTTGCACTTTTTGACTTGTAAAGCTCTCAGTTGAAGTTTTAAATATTGATGGCCAGAAAGTTGCTTGCGTGCTCTTGGAGAAGAAGAGAGAAAGAGGAACAGAAGAGAGAGAGAGAGAGAGGAAAAGACTGAAAAAGGAGTTGGGTTAGGTGTGCAAATCTTTAAGAGATAATAAGAAAGTTTAACTTTATTTGAATATTTCTCAGTCTATAATTGTGTAGGTTCATGTGCAATGTGTGTGCCCCTATAGATAACTTGCCTCCCAAAACACTGTAAGCAAAAATTTCGCAATACTGACTCAACGGTTTTAGCATAAAAGGGTTGTATGTTTGTCTTAAAGTATGTGCATGTTTTTTCTCCGAGGAACTTGTAGAAAAAATCCTCCTCGCTCAAGAAGCATGTGACCTTAGCTCATTTTAGCAAATCAAGAACATGCATGCGTCCGGAAAGTCACATGCTGATATTCGAGCTAAAATCTTAGTTTCTTAGCGAACTGGAAGGACCAGCTGGCATCGCTGCCAGAGAACAAACCCTGAAAGTCAGAATTTTGCTGGTCTGACGCTTTTCTAAAAATAATACCAAAATTCTAGGAATGTTACAAGTGGATGAACGATGTGGCTACTGAACATGAAATTGCTGCTTTGCATGAAATGCACGAACGAGACCATGATGGTTGTAAGAAGAGAGTCAGAGAGTTTATTGCGCGTTTGCCTGATGACAGAAGGGTTTGTTAGAATTGTCCTGTTCTGGTACTTGATGATTGGTTTTGCTTGCAGGCTGAAGTTGAGAAAAACCTTCCTTTCTGCGAAAAAGTTTGGTACGGTGACCACGATCATCATGGTCATGACCACCATCACGGACACCACCGTCGCCAGATTGCTGTGAGAAGACGTCGTCACTTGAAGGCCATCGATAAGTACCTGGACTGGCTGACCCCAGAACAGAGAAATACGCTTGTGGTTAATTCGACCATCTACAGCTTAAAACTGTTTTCCTACTGTTTCTCTTTTTTAGGACATTGAGAAGAGTGGAGCAGAATTTGACAGCGTCATTGCAAAAGTGAAAGAGTTCTACGGTAAACTTGGTGAAGAGAAGAAAGCGGAACTCAAGGCAAATTTCAAGGTAAACAAATAATAGCCGTAGAAGATCGCAAAGTTATCTAACTAATTTGCAGTCACAATGCTCTGCGTGGGTGAAAGAAGTGGCGACTCCGGAAGAGATGGAAAAGATCAAGGAAATGCACAAAAACAAGGACCACGCCGAGCTCAAGAAGAAATTGGCAGAGTTGGAGAACAGATTGACGGAGGAACAGAAACACACCGTTGAGCATGTTCGAGAAGTCTGTCTTGGTGTATGGGAAATTCAGGTAAGTAAAATTAGCGATAAAGCAGTTATAAAACTAAACGCTGCCATTTATAGAATAGCCGCAGAAGAAGAGGTCAGGAATACTTTACCCTAGAAAAAATTCTTGACAACTACCTTACATGGCTGACTGATGCTCAAAAGGAGGAGCTGAAATCTCTCAAAGCTGCAGGAAACAAAGACAAGATTTATGACAAAGTTCTTTCCTACTTAGACAACGCTTCAGGAGAACAAAGAAAGAAGGCTATCGAAGATTTGCAGAGCGGATGCAAACACTACATTAGAAATATTGTTGGTGACGAAAAGGCCGATGAGTTCAAGCAAATGAAGGAAAGCGGTGTTTCACCGGATGAAATTGCAAAGAAAATCGAGGTGCTTGTTGATGGACTCACGAATGAGGAGGTAAAAGCACAAGCGAAGAAAGTTGCACCAGTTTGCAAAGCAGTCTATTCTGCTGCTAAACGCTTCAGAAGGGAACATCATGAACACAAGTTGGACGAGGAAATGAAGAAGTACTTAACGTGGCTTACAGCGGATCAAATGCACAAAACTGGAGGAGAAGTTTGAGAAGGAATTTAGAAAATCAAGGTAGAAAACCACAAAATCAAAGGATCTTCGTAATAATTAGCGAAATCAAAGAAAACTTGTTAGAAACTGCGTCTAAGAAATCTGTTGACGCTAGCTTCTACCATTTGCGAATACTCACGGATTACTGAGAAAACAAACCTCAGAACATGAAGTACAAAGAAAAGTCAAGCAAATCATTGTTATGTTGCTGCGTAGCTGTGTCATGAAAGTGCAAAATTGTGTCATACAATACTAAAAATTCGAACTTGACCTTTCTCCGATCAAAGACACGGTGAACTCGACACATAACCATAAGATTGAAAGCAGCTTCCAAGCGATTACATTCAGCTGGCTTTCAAACTATTGGAAAATTTCCGTCGTCACTGCGGGTCCTAGCTTCAAAGTTTCCAGTTTTCCCTGTCCCCGCGTTAGATATCCACGGTTTTCTTGCTTGTCGTCGGCGGCTGCGTCCAATTCCAGGGGCGAAAATCGCATAAAGCTGATCTCTCAGCTGATCCGTCGTTCCACTGCTCATTTCGTTGGCGGTCTTCCTCAAAAACGTTTTGTTTCTTGAGGAATCTCTGATGTTCCCGGTGTAAAGAAGATTTCGGGAAATTTTATACTTCTCAGAAAGGTGGTAGTGAACTTGAGATATCTTGAAAGTAGCTAGTCAGCAGTTGCACAAAAAGAAACGTTGTGAATTTCTTTGACAGAAAGTTGCTGCGGCGCAACAAATTTCAACCAGAAACCGTGGCGCAGAAACTAGGTACAATCCTTTATTGACTCAAAACTATGACGTAGACAAAGTCCGATGTTTTTTTTATTGTTCTTGATACTTTTTGTTGGAATATTGAATCATAGTCTGGATTCAATTCATTAAGCAAAAGCCGATGTGATTAGCCTTGTCGCGGCTTGGTGGTCTTAGCACCCCTAGCTGTGTGCTCGACTGTTCTACACTAACAACCTCACACCCTAGGACATTACCGCGTCGACAGGCCGAACTAGCGCGTCGCACTCAACGCGATCACCCAACTCACTTACCCGTGTATAACGTGTGTGTAATTGGATTATTTTTATACACATAAGACAACAAATACAAACACATATACAAAGAAGACTACGAGTTCACTAAAGAGGATGACCAAACTACCAGCACAAAACAGGCCGCGCGTTCTGTGCTGTCAATGTATAGGAAGCTCAATCCAACCAAGAAGTTCTGTGTTTCTCCTCAGAGTCAACGCTGGAGACCCAGCTCCAGGGAACGGTGCACTCACCTCCTCTTCCCAGCAATGTTCACCTACAGACTTCCAGGTTTCCTCGAGCTCACGCACGTTCAATCCACAAGATCCCAAAAGGCTCAACCGCTCAACACGATCCTCTACTGCGGAAGCTGCAAAGAATGTAGCCACTTATGACATAAAAATAACCAATAATGATAACGAAGGGCGAAGAGCCAAAGGCTACTGCCACGCGCAGCCTTATATACCTCGCCACTTGGCTGCGCTCCAAGCCGGAGGTAGTCCTGCAGCAGTCTACAAAAGATGCGACAGGCAAAAGCGGCATACAGCCCCCGGCGCCCATTCCGAGAAGCTGCTCTGCATTGCGGAGCCGCGACAAGCCTCTTTTCAAGAATTTTGATTTGCCTGAGATTCTATGTGTTCAGCTAAAATCTCCAGCCAATAATCTATAATACTAGTTTGCTGCATAAGTTCTGTCCGAGTTGAATTTTTTGAGTTTAAAATGTCATAACTTCTTTCAAAGTCAACTTTTTCCAAGATCTTAGTTTCTATATGTTGAGCAGTCCCTTGGCTATCAGACTCATATTGAGACCTCGAAAATCCTTGTTAAAGATGAAGCAAGGACTTGAGAACTTTACAGCGTTTTTCTTTTAACCTGTCTTTTTTGACATAGCAATGTCCCCTCATGAAAATTGATAGGCATTTTATTCAACAATGGATAGACAGAGGAATTTCGTAGATTATTTTGCAACATAAAAGAGTCCATAGGGTCTGCGTTACCGAGAGGTTTTTTTGATCTCTCTTCAGCGCATGTGTGCATGCCTATTATTTTGTTTCGATGACTTACCTACTGTGAAGCCAACTAAGCTTTTAAATGGCTTTGCTTCGAAATACGTATGGCGCTCGAAATACTTGCTTATTTTCATACGTTTTGACTTCATAATGCTAAAAGCACTGTCATCTAAAACTTTCTTAAAGCAAGTCAGGCCGCGATTGATGTTTTACTTAAAGCTTTTCGAAGATTAATAAGTGCCATTGAAGATATGATGCAACAACTTCAAAATAAGATCAGCACAACAAGATATTGTGCACAAGATCACAGATACATATACAAATTAAACCATAAAAGGCATTTTGCGCTCCGGCAACATAACGACGACTCTCGATCTTCTTCATGCAGTTGTTCATGCATGGACCCCACACTGGGTCATCCGGATTAGCAAAATGTCCACATTTCTCTTGGACGCACTGTAACGTTATTGAACTACTCAAAGATAGCACTTGATCAATCAAATGTCGATACCCAGCTTATAGAAGGGGCTTGGATTCCTGTTTAATAATTCACTTTCCTTTTTCCTCCTTCCGAAAATGGATAATCCATCCACAATACAGATTTGTAGCACGAGTAAGAGGATAAACATTTTGTGAGACATTGTTTAGTGCAATGGTGACACACAACCTCGAAAGTCAAATTTTTGAAATGTATAGCAGTCGCGGAGCCCTTTATATTCTTTTCATTAACAAGCGAGGGATCGGCTTGTCGAGAGATTTGTGGACGGAAATCTCTTCAACATTTAACTTTTTAAATGTTTTGAGGCTTCTAGCTTTTAGAAATTTGTAGCATTCTGTTTACTGTAAGAGTACGAGTATGATGAAAAGCAGATTGAGGTTTGGAATTTCAGCAGTTTTTTTACCGTTAGCAGTTATTTGCTAAAACATAGGGAACATTATGGGTGATTATATAACTTTTTGTAAAATTTCTGGTCAAAATGCATGCGCTGCTTCAATTTGATGTAGAATTCAATCGCTAGAAAAAGGTACTGCTTTTGATAAATGTACTTTGTTGCTACTGTTTGTCATTAGAAAAAGTGAATGCAGTTTATTCAAAAGATATGGTATGAGAAGATCTGCCAAAGGAAAAGAATCTTTTTTACTAAAATTGTGTCGTACCTACTAAGACATGCACACATACTCGCAGGCATGCTGACAATTTGAACAACAATTTCCCTTACCGTATTAATCAACGAATACACACTTGGAGAGTTATATCTAAAAGTAAATCACAACTGCGTTAGTGATGATCAACTCATCAAACATTATTCCATACCTAGACATACGCCTTACTCAAATAAAAAGTGTACGCTAAGTACTTCAGTGATAGATACATACATTGCCGTAGCTGCGTTTTCTTGCACTAGCAGTTTGCATAATAGTACAAGAACAAGGCCTAACACATCTGGTTCTGGTCAAATTGGCTATCGTTTTGCGGAGCAATCAAGGGGGTGATCGTTTTGAAAAAGAGCATTTACCTACATGGGAAAGCATTTTGATTGTTTATAAGCACAGAAATATGTAAAGAAATCTGATCACCATTTTATACATTATTATCGGCTCGTAGGAAGAGAGCTGACTTGGAAAAGAAAATTTTGCTTGATGGTGTTGGGACTCTATGAAAAATGCGTTTTATGGCAAATTCGATGACTTGATTAACACATTGACGACCATGCAGTTTTTTAGTTGTCTGCCTTTTAGTACCAAGGCCTTTAACGGACCAGCCCACTTTTTCAATTATAATTACGCATACCCATCTACACTATAGCTACAGTAGATCTTAATAGCTGACAAAAAAGGTAGAAGTCATCCTAGATTTTGTGCAAAAGAAAGCTCATGGAGTATGTTTATTTTTTAGATAGTAGTCATTTTACTAAATTTCAAGCCTTGACACACATGGTGTGTCAAGCGGTCCCACGCGGTAGTCATTGCTTGACACACCAATTCGTCAGTGTGTTAACTGAATGTTGAGTACAATGCAAGTGCCTTGATTGTGATTTCTTATTAGTAAAAGCACAAATTTCGTCACGGTTCCGTGCCGTACTGTGTAACGATCTTTGCAAGTTCCTGGTCGCTGTCGCGCGTCGCTACTACCGCGACGCCGATCATGGTACGCCTGTGCGTTTCAAACTCAAGTGGGAAATCCTGCAAATCGGTACTGGGAAAGACGAAGTCCTTTTGCGGGTGTCCATTTGCCATCCTCGTGCTGGGCCCTGTCCATGTACCGTTGTTCTCGTTGTAATAAATCGTGACCGTTAACCTACCGCTGTTTCTGTAATCTTTCAGGAAATTAGGGTGTGTTCATTTTCTTGGGAGAGAGATCCTCGTTTAATGAAACTGTAGGGGAAGAGTCTATGCGGAAAGTTGACACTGTAACCTAAGGACTACAAGTATATATGCCTCAACCACTCTGAATGGTGAAGCACCTATAACGATGATTTTCGAGCAGTACATTTCAAGCGTTTCAGTTCATAATCTGCTTTAAACAAGTCGACAATGATCATTAAGCACTACGCAAAAGCACATGTTTTTCTTCCTTTGAAAAAAGGCAACGTTTCCTTCAACAAAAAGCACTCAATCTACAAAACATGCGTTTGTTTGCGTTTGCGATTTTTTGATCCATGCTTGCAATACTTTCCAAATTGGACTTGAGGTATTTCCAAGCAGAGAAAAAAGAGAACGACGGTTAAATGGAGATCAGGTAGTGAAGTTGAAAAACAGCTGAGCATGAAGATAACGAGGAAGCATACCCATTGTACTCTCGAAAGTTATGTCCATGAGAATCAAACAATTACTTTTTCCACATATAAATGTTGCTTACCTTTTTCTTGTGAAACAATGCCAAAGCATTGAAGCAATGATGTTGTTCCCAAAGGATTTTTGTCTCCAGAAGGGTTAACAAGCATAGCAATTATCTAAAAAAGGGAAAAT